TAAATAGGAATACTAAATCTACAAATAAGAATGTATGAAATTTAAAGGAAACAAAAGAAACAAGATATATTCTAAGTTTTTTTAAAAACAAGAAATTCACCTTAAGTATAAAGACAGATTAAAGTAAAAAAAAATAGAGAAATATTTAACTCACACACAAAAATAGACAATGCTCCCTATGTCATAAAAGATGAAAGAAAGAAGGAAATAATGCAAAGAATCAGAGATAGAGAAGGGAGTGGTAAAGAAGAAAGGAAGGATGAGAAGGAAGAAAGGAAGAAGGGAAAATGTAACAAAGAAAAAGAAAGAAAAAGGGACTATTAAAGAATAAAAGTAGAATAGGCATAATAATTTAAAATGAGATAGACACTGTAAAAAAGGAAATCATCCAGGATACAGACTACACAATGATAAAAATGTGAAATTTTCAAAAAGACATAACATGCATATGCTTAACAACAAAGTAACAAACTATAAGACAAATACTGATAAAACTGCAAAAGGAAGTGTATAAAATACTTTGATACTTGGAAATGCAAAATTCCTATATCTAACAGTAATAATCAAAAAACGCTATTATAAAAGGGAAACCATGGATCAGTACTCTTCATGAATATAGATGTAAAACTTCTCAACCAAAAAAGAATAATGCAACAAAGTCAGCAATCTGTAAAAATAATTGTAAAACATGAAAAAATAAGATTTTTCCCAGGTCTGCAGGTCTGAGGCAACATTTGAAAATCTGTTAATGTAACACATCACATCAAGACTAAAGAAGAAAAATTATATGATCATAACAGTGGTTACAGTAAAAGCATTTGTCAAAAGTCAACATACATTCATGATCAAAATGCTCAGTAAATTAGGAATAGATGAAAACTTCCTCAGCTTGATCAAGAACATATAAAAAACCTTGTTAATTAAAAAAAAAACACTTCTTAGTGAGGAACTTAGTGTCATAATGAAAGCACTAGCTAATGTTATAGGACAAGATATAAAATATAAACAGATTATATATAACAATAAAAATATCTTCATACACAAATGTCATGATTATTTATCAAGAAAACAAAAGAGAATCATCAATAACAATGACAAAAAACTACTGGAAAAATGAGTAATTATAGCAAAGTTGTAGAATATAAGGTTAATATAGAAAAGCCAACTGACTTCTTATATGACAACAATAAAATAATGGAAAATTCTGGAGAAGCTTTTTATTTTTTTGGTACCAGGGATTGAACTCAGGACCTTATGGTTGCAAGGCAGGCTCAGTGACATTCAGCTAAATCCCCAGCCCACAACTGAAAATTTATATGAGTAACATAGTATTTAAATCAGCATTCAAAGAAAATAATATACTATAATATACCAAGAACAGGAAAAATAAGGTAACAAGGATATGTCAATAAATATCATTTATAACCATCAACATCAATGGCCTCAATTCACCAATCAAAAGAAATAAACTGACAAAATGGATAAAGAAACAGAATCCAACAATATGCTGTATACAAGAAACATATCTACTTGAAAAAGATACTTATAGACTAAAAGTAAAAGGATGGAAAACAGCTCTCTATGCAACAGAAATATGGAAAAAAGCAATGGTAGCTATCTTATTTGCAGATAAAGTAATTTTCAAACCAAAACTAAGACAGACAAAGAAGGCCACTACATCCTTGTAAAGGGAACAATCCAAGAGGAAGAGAAGACAAGCATAAATATATATGCACCAAATACTAATGCCCCAACTATACAAAACAAATATTAAGGCACATGAAATACCTAATTAGCAATTTGTATTAGCAATACCAAATACAATGGTAGTGGGGGACCTCAATACTTCATCATCAAAAATATACAGATAATCTAGACTAAAAATTATACTAGAAATATTAGAGCTAGACCAAGCTTTTGACCAAATGGATTTAATAAATGTCTAAGAGTGCTTCACCTCACAAAATCAGAATATACATTCTTTAAATTGCATACAGGTCATTCTCCAAAATAGAACACATGTTAGCACACAGAAAATGTTCAAAGAAATGCAAAGGAATTGAAGTTATTCCATGTATATTATCATACCATAGTGCAATTAAACTGGAGATCTGTAGTATAAGAAAGCATAAAAACTTCACAAACACATTGAAATTGAATGACATTCTCCTGAACAACCCATGGATCACAGGAGAAATTTAAGAAGTCAGATAGCTTTTATAATTTAATGACAATGCCAGTTCAACATACAGGAATCTATGGAATACAATGAAAGCAGTTTTATGTGGGAAATTTATAGCAGTGAATGCCCACACTAGGAAAACAGAGTAAGCTCAAATAAACAACCTAATGATGACACTTAATCTCCTAGATAAAGAACAAGAGAAACCCAAAGCTGATACAAGAGAGGAAATTATAAAGATCAGAGCAGAAATCAATACAATAGAGACAAGAGAACAATATAAAAAATCAACAAATCAGAGTTAGATTTTGAAAGAATAAAATCGATAAACCCTTAGACAACCTTATCCAAAAAAGGTAAGAAAAGGCTCAAATTCATGCAAATGAATTTTAGAGACAAAAGACTTCTACATTGAAAACTACAGCTCTCTAAATAAGAGACTGAAGAGGATATAAGAAAATGGAACAACATACCTTGTTCCTCAGTAGGAAAAATCAATATAGTGAAAATAGCCATATTTCCAAAACTCCTACACAGATTCAATGCAATCTCTATTGAAATCACAATAGTATATTTCACAGAACTAGAGAAAACAATCCAAAAATTCATTTGAAACCAGAAGAGACCTAGAATAGCAAAGCAATTCTAGGCAACAGAGACATGGCAGGGGGGGTATCACAATACAATTTGAAAGTATACTTTAAAGCCACTATGATAAAAACAGTATGGTGCTGTCAAAGAAACAGACCCAAGGATCAGTGGAACAGATTAAAAGATGCAGAAACATCTCCTGACATACTCAACTACAAAGGAGCAGAACACCCTCTCTGGAGGAAAGATAGCCTCTTTAATAAATGGTTTTAGAAAAACTGGATTTCAACTTGTCAAAGATTAAAATTAGACCCATATCTCTCACCATGCACTAAACTAAAATCCAAGTGGGATTGAAGGTATGAATATTAAAGCAGAAACACTACACTTGCTGGAAGATAAATTAGGTAGAACTCTTGAAGATATCAGCATAGGAAAAGACTTTATGAACAAATCCTCAGTAGCACAGGAACTAGCACAAAGAATCAATTAGGATCTCATCTTTTTAAAAAGCTTCTGCATTGCCAGAGAAATTACAAGCAGAACTAAGAGACAACCCATAATGTGGGAAAAAAATTTACCAGCTGTTCCTCAGACAAATGTTTACTATCTAAAATATATAAAGAACTTTAAAAGATCGGACCTCCCAAATATAAAGACCCAATTCAAAAATGGGTATTTGAATTTAACAGACATTTCTCTGACAAAGAAGTAAAAGCAGCAAATAATCATATGAAAAAAATTTCAACATCGCTGGTCATTCGAGAGATGCAGATGAAACACCACAGAGATCCCATCTACCCAAGGAAGAATGGCTGCTATCAAGCAGTCAACCAGTAACAAATGCTGGTGGGGTGGTGGGGAGATTTGCGCCCCTCTCCATTGTTGGTGGAAGTGCAGACTGGCATAACCACTGTGGAAATCAATACGGAGAAACCTCAAACAACTAGGATTAACGTCCTGTTTGACCCAGATATTCCTCTGCTGGGTATCTTCCCAAAAGAATTAAAAGAATCATACCACAGTGATATACACTTGCCCATGTTTATAGTGGCACATTTTGTAATAGCTAAAACTTGGAAATAGCCCATTTTCCCATCAACTGGAGACTGGATAAAGAAGATGTGTTTTTTTTTTTAATAAAAAGTAATACTACTCAGCCATAAAGAATGAAAAACTAGAGAGATTATAGCTAATTGGATGCACATTGAGGCCATACTCTTAATTGAAATTAATAAGTTGCACATGTGTAAATACCAAATTGTTTCTCTGGCATGAAAAAGTTAAAGTGTAAGTAATGACCAAAATGTATAATTGATATTGTGTAACAGTAACTAAAGTCTAAAAGAGTAGAGGTAGTGGGAGAGGTGGGAGAAAGTTAAATAGGAAAAAAATATGTGAAAAGGAAAAACATGCAACAATGTCTTTGCAAATATGGAAGGGTGGAGGCCTGATGGGAGGGCTGAGGAATGACAAAAAACTAGAACCTGTTAAATCATGTATATGTGCAAGGTCCCAATGATGAATGTAACCATTGCACAACAATTATGTATCAATAAATTTAATAAAGATTTAAAAAGCAAAGAAAACAATATACTTGGGAATACATCTGTCAAGCTATGTAAAAGATCTCAATAAGGAAAAGTATGAAACTCCAATGTCAAAGATCTAAATTGATAGGATGATGATCAGGTTCATGAATAGAGACATTCAATTTTGTTGAGACATCAGTTTTCCACAACTTGATCTAAAGATACAATGCAGTCTCAGTCAAAGTCAGAGCAAATTAGTTTATAAGCATCAATAAGCTAATTCTGAAGTTTATATGAGGCAAGGCACTCAAATAGCCAATATTACACTTAAGAATAGCCATTAAACTGAAAGTATTTGATGTTGAGACTTACTATAAAATTAGAGTAATCAAGGCAGACTAATACTGGTTCAAGAACAGATGTATAGGCCAATGGAACAGAATAAAAAGTCCCAAAATTAACCAATGCAAATGTATCACTTGATCTGTAAAAAAGGAGCAAATTCAGCATAAATGGAAAAAGATGATGTACCACCCAGAAGCCCACCAGGAGAGCATTGTGGACCTGGGTTCCAGACCTCACATCACAAAGCACAGAACGGTTATTGTTATGAGCTCAGCAAGATGGCATAATGATGAGCAGTACAGAGAGGGCCTCTCTTAGGCTTGTTGCTAACAACTGAAGCCCACTGGGACAGTGAAGAGAGTCACTGCAATAAAGATGCAGTAAACTACAACAGCTGGTGTGTTGTTTGGTTCAGCACTACCTATCACAACCCAGACTTGCTGTGGGGTAAGGTTGGCTTGAACTTGCAGTAGAACCATAGAGTTCAAATCCAAAGGAAGTCAGGAAGCTCAATTCCACCCCTGCAGCCAGAAATCAGCTTGAATTTGAGTGGACTACAACCAGCTCTCTGAGATTAGGCAACACAGATCTGTACTCTGCCCAAATTATCCACCACTGGTGACAGCAGAGATATACCTTGAAGGGGACATCTTTTCTTTTCTTTTCTCTTCCTTTCTTTTCTTTTATTTTCTTTGGTTCTTAATTTCTCTTCTTTCTTGTTTCTGTTTTTGTCTTGTCTATTTTTCTCAGTTGTTCTTATTTTTATACAAGTGTGAATATGGTTTCTAATTTCCCTGTTGCTGTTTGTCCGTTCTGTTCTTGTTTTTCTTCCTTCTTTCTCTCTTTGCCTCCTGTCTTGACCAGTTTCCCAAAGATTACATGATCCTCCTATGTCTTCTGGTCTTACCTCTAACCTTTCCCTCTCCTTCTATCTACCTATCCCCCTGTACACAACTCCTTCTAATTCTTCTCCCCAGAGGGCAAATTCACTGTATTAAATGGCTTATTTGCTGCAATGATATTTCTGGTTGTTTCTAGATTTTGATATATAACCCACAAGTCTACTTCATGATGTGAAAGGTAGCAGAGTAATAGTTACAACAATTTGTCAATTTTTAGGTTGTGTTTGATGCTACTGTTGATACTGATTGTATTACTTTGGCCAAGGTAACATGACTGTGTTAGTCAGTTGTTTTTCCTGTTATATCAAGACTTGAGATTACCTAAGGGTCATTACAGACACAAAACTCAAAGACCAGCAATACCTGAAGACAGTCTGAGAATAGCCATTTTCTAATGGTTCTGCATACTAGTGATAAATATACTTGCAATAAGTAACATAAGCAGCAACCCAGGAATTAAACCAAAAACTTCAACAACAGAAAAATAGAAATGTGAAGACACATAAAACAAGATACAAACACAGACTTCCAGCTCACCAAGGGAAAATGTATAGGGTAGCAAGGTAGAAAAATCTGAGTCAACCTCCTGAAATCCCTGAACTGGTAGCAAGGGAATTAACAAAACAAATGAAAGAGGCCCTGGAAAAAATGAAGTCAGAAATAATTTCTCAGGTAATAGAGATGGTGACAATGAAAGACATGATTAGTAACTCTAGAGCATATACAGATAAACAAAAAAAAAGAAGCAGAGGGAAATGATGTACACCATAAATATCCTGTATAAAATGGAAATAGAAAACATGAAACACAAGCAGATATCTAAGAGATAAAAAATTTAACTGAAAGTTTCTGTAGCAGAATAAGTGAACGTAAGCACAGAATTTCAGATATAGATACAGGATTCTGGTTAGCAAACATGAAAAGAATGATTTCTTAGAAGTAGCAAGGGACCATGAGAAATTAATTCAAAAGCTACTAGATGATGCAAAAAATAAAAATTTAGATTGACTGGAGTCAATGAAAGGGTATGAGATAGCACAAAAGACGTAAATAAACTTTCCACAGAAGTAATTACAGAAAACTTCTGAAACAGGGAAAAAGAATCTGACACAAAGATTAGTGAGACATATGAACTCCAACTAGCCACAATAAAAAACAAAACAAAACAAAACAAAACAAAACAAAAAAAACACCTAATGGGCCAGGGATTTAGTTCAGTGGCAGTACATATGACTTGCAAGCACAAGGTCATGATTTAGATCCCTGGTACTGGGAAAAAATCTACACCTAGGCATATAATAGTCAAAATTCCAGACATGCAACATAAGAACAAAATATAAAACCATTAGAGAAAAGAAATGAACCACACACAAAGGAAATTCCATCAGAGTCACAGTAGACTTCTCAACACAAACCTTAAAATCAAGGAGATTCTAAAATAAAGTATTTAAAGCTCTAAAATAAAACAACCTCCAACCCAGATTGATGTGTCCTGCAAAACTCTTTCAAAATTGATGGGCAAATAAGGTACTTGCATGACAAAGAATACCTGAGGAAGTTCATGAATACCAAACAAGCTCTCCAAAAAATTCTAAACAATATCCTAGGAAAAGACAATGAGGTCTCACAACTCCAGGAAGCATAACAGAATGAATCCATCAGGCATGACAAGAAATTAAATGAGAATAGATTGAAGAAAAAAGAGCCAAGAAGAGGAAAATATCATGATGAGGATAAGTCAATATGCATCAGTTATAACTATCAAGGTTAATGGTCTGAATTCAATAATAAAAGGAAATAGATTGGCAGAATGGATCTAGAAGTAGGATCCAAAAATATATGCATACAAGAAAAACAGTTAATTAAAAAAGAAATTAACTGATTGAAAGTCTAAAGAAGTAAAACAATAGTCTAGGTGGCAGGAACCTGGAAAAAAGCAGAGGTAGCTGTCCCATTTGCAGACAAAGTGAATTTCAAACCAAGACAAATTAAAAAAGATAAACAAGGTCACTACATCCTTATAAAGGGAACATTCCAAGAGGAAGAGATGACAATCATAACTATATATTCACCAAATGTTAGTGTACCTAACTATATAAAATAAATATGGATGGACAAGAAAAATCAACTAAGAGCTAATACAATTATAGTGGGGGGCCTCAGTACTTCACTGTCATAAATAGATCAAATAGACAAAACAACAACAACAACAACAACAACAACAAAATACTAGAACTGAAACAAACTCTTGAACAAATGGATTTAATAGATGTTTAGAGAGTGTTCCATTCACAAAATCAGAATATACATTCTTCTCAGCTGCACACAGGTAATTCTCCAAAATAGACCCATACCAGCTCATAGAACATGTTTAAGTAAATGCAAATAAAAGTAAGTTATCCCCTGTATATTACTAGATGATAGTGCAATGAAATTGGAGATCAATAGCAAAAGATACCACAAGAATTTCATAAACACATGGAAATTGAATAACACCCTCCTGAATAACAAATGGATTACAGAGGAAATTAAAAAATTAGTTCCTACAATGACATAATAATACCAATAAAACATACTGAAATTTATGGGACACAATGAAAAGAGGCCTACTAGAGAAATTCATAGCAGTGAATATGCATAGTAGGTAAACAGTGCAAGCTCAAGTAAACAATGTATTGTGGAAACTCAAGCTTCTAGAAAAAGAAGATCAAGACAAAGTTAAGCTTATACAGTGGAGGTAATATTAAAGATCTGAGCAGAAATCAATGCAATAGAGACTAACAGAATGATACAAAAAAAATTAGTGAATCAAAGAGTTGGTTGTTCAAAAGAATAAACAAAACTGACAAACCCTTAGCCAGCCTTATCAAAAAATGGAAAGAAAAGACTCAAACCCATGCAATTAGGAATGAAAAGAGTGAAATCACACTTGAAGAAATCCAGAAGATCATCAATAGCTACTTTGAGATGAAAAACACAGAAATGGACAGATTTCTAAATGTATGAATTGCTAAAGGTTAACAAAAAGATATGGAAATTCTAAAAAACCCATTATCAATCAATAAAATTAAAAATATAATTAGACACCAACAAAGAAACCCCACTTCCTGATGGCTTCATTGCTGAATTCTACAAGAAATTTAGAAGAGACCTAATAGTAGTACTGCTCAAATTCTTTAATGAAATTGAAAGTGAAGAAATACTCCCAAATTCATTCCTAGATGCAAGGATTACCATGATGCCAAAAGCAGAGAAAAATCCCACCAAAAAAGCAAACTACAGGCAATCTTCATAATATATATAGACAAAAAAATCCTTAATAAAATACTGGCAAACAGAATGCAGATTATTAGGAAGATTATATACCCTGATCAAGTGAAATTCATTCTAGGGAAGCAAGTTTGGTTAGGCATGCATAAATAAATAAATGTAATACATCATATTAACAGAGTCAAGAACAAAATCCATACGATCATCTAATAGATACAGAAAAAGCCTCTGACAAAACCCAATGCCCACTCATGATAAAAACCCTACAAAAATTATAATAGATGGTCTTTATCTCAACTTGATGAAAGCCATCTATGAAAAACCAACAGCCAATACTGTGCTAATTGGTCAAAAATTGAAATCTTTTGTGCTAAAATGAGTAATAAGACAAGGATGTTCACTATCACTACAAAGCTACTGAGATAAAAACAGCATGGTACTGGCAAAGAAATAGACCTAAGGATCAATGGAACAGATTTAAAAGTGCAGAAATAACTCCAGACAACACTCAGCCACTTCATCTTTGACAAAGGAGCCAAACACCCTCACTGAAGGAAAAAAGCCTCTTTAAAAAATAGTGCTGAAAGAACTTGGTTTCGTCTTGTCAAAGATTAAAAGCAGACTCAGATCTTTCACCACGCCCTAAACTAAAATCAAAATGGATCAAAGATCTAAATATTTTTTTCAAAGATCTAAACATTAAAACAGAAACATTAAACCTGCTAGAAGATAGGCTAGGTAGAACTCTTGAAGTGACTGGCCTAGGAAAAGACTTTATAAACAACAAACCCTCAGTCTCATGGGAACTAGCATAGAGAATCAACAACTGGAATCCAATGTTATTAAAAAGCTTCTGCACAGTGAGAGAAACCACCAATATAGTGAATAGACAACCCACAATGTGGGAAAAATTTTTACCAGTTGTTCCTCAGACAGAGGACTAATATAAATATATAAAGAATGAAAAATATCACCCCCTAAACATAAAGACCTAATCCAAAACTGGGCATCTGAAATGAGCAGACATTTCTCAGACAAAGAAGTAAAAGCTGCAAATAAACATATGAAAAAAAATGTTTAACATCACTGGTCATTCATTACATGTAAATGAAAACAACACTAAGATTCCACCTTACTCCAGAAAGCATGGCTGCTATCAAGAAACCAAACAATAACAAATACTGGCTGGGCTGTAGGGAAAAAGGAACCCTTCTCCTCTGTGGACGAGTGTGCAGACTGGTGTAACCACTGTGGAAATCAGTGTGGAGATTCCTCAGAAAACTGAAACAAGAGGTTGTTTTTGATGCAGCTATTCTTTTGCTTGGCATCTTCCTAAAAGAATTTAATATATGCACATTCATGTTTATAGCAGCACTATTTGTAATAGCTAAGTCTTGGAAACAGCCCAAATGTCCATCAACAGGTGACTAGATAAAGAACCTGTGTTTTGTTTTCTGTGTGTGATTTTTTTGGTACCGGGGACTAAACTCAGGACCTTGCACTTGTGAGGCAGGCACGGTGTCACTGAGCTAAATCCTGGCCCTATTTTGTTGTTTGTTTTTGTTGTTGTTGTTGTTGTTTTTATTTTTTTTTTACAAAAGCCATAAAGAATCATAAACTAGAAACATTTGTAGTTAAATGAATGGACCTTGAAACCATACTTTTAAGTCAAATAAATAGGACACAAATTTAAATACCAAATTGTTTCTCTGGTGTGACAAGCAAAATGTAAATGAGGACCAAAATGTTTACCAGATATTGTGAAATAAGAAGAAAAGAGTCAAAGCTGAGGGGAACTGGGGGTGGTGCAGGGGAAAGAAGGGAAAGAAAAAAATGAGAAAAGAAGGAAAAAATAAACAGAAGCAAAGCTTTTGTAAATAGGGAGGGGTGGAGGGGTGGAAGAGAGGGACAGGGAATGGGAAAAAAATCTGTATCATGTACAGGTTCAAATTCTCAAAGATGAATGCAATCATAATGTATACATAAAATGTACCAATAAACAGAATGAATAAAAAAAGATGGTCTTTAGCTATAGCTCTGCAACAACTGGTCATCAGCGTGGAAGAAAGGAAGCTAGACATCCACTTTATACTTTACTTAAAAATGAACTCCAAATAGACCATAGCCTTAAATGTAAAATAGAAAGCTATTAAACTTTTAGAAGATAACACAAGAAACTCTGAGTGTCATTGTGTTTCAAGAACATTTTTAATTGTTTTAGATTCAATAACAGGACCACAATATAGGAAGGAAAATAGTTGAACTTCATTAAATTTAAAACTTTTGCTCTGTAAAAGACATTGTAAGGAGAGAACAGCTGAAAACATGGCTGTTAAAAGACTTGTATAAAGAGAACTCTCCAAGCAAGCAAAGTCGATTAGAAATGGATGAAAATATGTGAACACAGATCACATCAAAGAAGATACCCAGATGGCCAATCAGCATATAAAAATTTGTTCAGCATTTTGGTTCTTTAGGAAATAGCAAATTATATAACTTATCTCAATAAAATTAACTTATTCCAAAACCAATTACTTATCAATATAAGTAATATGTTAAGTACATTATAATGTCCCTCTCGTTATAATAGCTACAATTCAAATTACTGTCAGTGCTAAATTCTTAGAGATTGTAGAAGAAAAGGAGCTCAAATTATTGCTGGTGAAAATTCAAAATGGGGTAGGCCCTTTGGGAGATATTTTGACAGTTTCTTACAAAGCTAATCCTAGTATTAACATATGACTAGTTATCACACTCCTGGGTGTTTATATTAATGAGTTGAAAGTTTATGTGTACATTAAAAACCCCATATTATCCTTGTTAGAAATATAAAAACTCAATTCCATATTAAATCATTACTTTAGAGGTAGATGAAGCAGTTTCTGAAGGCAAAAATCTTACAAACAAATGTAAATTGTGGTGAATACCAACTTAATGGGGTTGGCATAAAGTAGCTTTGTCTTTGATTTATCTGCTGAAATAATTGAAATAATTTGCATAAAACAATAATTTGTCATCCTGTTACCTGGGGAGATAGCATAAGAATCTGAAGTAAGACTGAAAAGTATTTCCAAAATAATCAAAGTAACTCTAAGTGCACCTTCCAGTTATATAGATAAAATAAACTAATATTTAAAATTTTTAATTTTATTTTTCAGAACACACAAATAATATTGCCAGGAGAAAGGATTATTAGGAAAGCATTTCTTCTAGTCATGTAATTTGACAGAGCTGGTTCCTGATATCCACTCTCACCAAAGTACCTTTCATCTTCTGCCTGTTGGTGTAGTAATAAATTCTTTGTCTCCCTATGCATCTTGACTACAGGGTATTTCATTAAGAAGACTTTCTCTAGTTTTCTAGAATGGGCTGGATGACCAGAAATGTTTCTCTTGTTTCCTGCGCCTTCTTTTTTGTAAGATATATCGCATTTATGTTATTGTTTAACTTCTCCATGTCAGTGTAAATTCCATGATGACACACACTGTCCCAATGTTTTATTTATTACTACATCCCCAGGACTTAGGGCTGTTTGTTATTCATACTCAAACCGAACAGCCAGTTCAATGAATAAATGAATAAACATGAACACCTCTGTTAGTAGCAATCATCACTCTACCTTGTAAGGCACTTCGCATCATTGGCAACAACAGAAAAGACAATCCACCGGAATAATTATCAACATGAATGAAAGTGAAATGATCAAATACTGAAAGTTAACGGATTCAAAGCCATCTTGTGAAAAATGTACTTATCTATATATTTTATCACTTGATTAATTTTTAGAGGATGAATACTTGTCAGAGAATGTAATGTGTTAGAAGACTCACCCTTCAAAATAGTGGCACTAATTGAGGAAGCTGGAAGACAGTACACAGATTTGACCACCTGTTTTAAAGACTGCTTACAAAATCCCAGAATTGACAATTTATTGTCTTCTCAGTTACAGCCTTAAGTTCTGGTGCTAACATGGCATCACTGTAGGTTAATATGTAGTGCGTGTTCAGAAAACAGGAACAAAAAGACCAACAAATATCAATGAAAAAAACCTTAAATAGGTCATTTTCATTATTTTTCATACCTGTACGTGATGTGTTTGTGCTGCCACTTCTGTCCTGTTAATGCATACCGCTTTCGACGAATATTAAATTTGGAGCTACCTCTTGTCTGATCAGGGACACCACATCGAGGTTTCTTCATCCAGCTGAAAAAGCAATAATTTCCAGTTATTTACCAATAATTTTCATCATTAATTTCAAAAGGTAATCAGTTAAGAGGTTAATCTGAAGCCTGGCATGGTGGCGCATGCCTCTAATCCCAGCACTCGGAAGGCTGAGGCAGGAGGATTGCTGAGTTTGAGACCAGCCTGGGCTGCATAGTGAGTTCCAGGTCAACTACATAGTGAGACCCTGTCTCAAAACAAACAAACAAACAAACAAATAAAAAATCCAAAGAGGTTAATCTGAAACGATGATGAAAATTGCAAACCAAAATTTAAATTTTCTTGAAATTTGAATTGAGACATATTTTTTTCAGAAAGTTCAAGAATCACTACTTTACTACTCACATCCATTAGATAATTTTCTTCTCTAATCCTTTTATAGTAACTGCAGACTGAGGTACCCTGAAGCTTCTAAATATATTTGTTTGCTAATAAGACATGTAGCTTTGAGCAAGTCATTAATTCCTAGTGTTATTCAGATATGACTCTAAGTGAGAACTTTACACTCAGATTGTTTATTTAAATATGCTATATGACTTTGAATTTCAGGAGTCAATAGGATACATGCTACTCTCTACTAGCTTAAAAAGTAATGAATTGTTTGATCACATAACATTTGTAATTTCCGTTTTTTTCCTTCACTTTTGATCATTATTTCAATTTCTTGGTAGCAGCTGTTTGCTTTGATTCTTTGGTGATAATGAAATGTAATTCTTTAAAAATATTTTCCCAAATGTGAGATTTAATATCACACAAATAAGCTTCAACATTTATATATGAAAATGAAATTCTGCTCTCAGTACTTATTTAAATATTGTATTGTATCTTATTTTCTATAGTCTTGAGCTTTTCTTGAGCATTGACATATTTTCTATTTGGGGGTCTTGTGTAAGGAGAAAAAATTTCAGATTTAGGGCAGATTTTCTGTAGTCCTTTACAAAATGGCTTTCCCATTCCTGGCTCCTTAATGCTTACACAGATAATGCTGAATACTTACACAGATAATACACAGATAAGGCTACGTGATTTGTATATTGGAAAGAATGAATGTTACCGTATTTCATCCGGTACTGAAAAATTTCTGTACTCTTTAAATGGAATTGAACATCAGGTCACTATCCAAAAACAGACATTTGAGAAAATGAATTTAATTAGTTTATATGTTACTTAGATAAATCAGCTAATATGTTTTTACAAACATAGGAATACTTCATGTACCAGTGGAATGATAATTTTTACTTAAGAAAGATGACAGGTTTTCAATAAACATTAAAATTTTCTGCCTTTTGTTTTGCTCCCAGTAATGCAGACATTGCAGTTAAAGAAATTCTACTGTAGTCTAAATACATTCTAGAGTTACTTTGGAAAATTATTCTTTCTGTTTTTAACATCTCCCAATCAAATGAAATGCATAATAAATGCTAACTCCAAGGACTTCCTGTTCTATGACATTGAACTCCTTAGAGGAGAGGATGGAGAGCTCTTTATTTTTTACTAATGCTTCCAGGGCATTCTTAAACCCTCTGAATTTCACATTATCTGTACAATAAAGGCAGAGGGTTTACATACTCCCATTACCTTGTACAATTCCCAGAATTTAAGTATTGATTATTCACTGAGTTAATGGATAAAGGCAGAGATTTTTAGTCAAAATTATTTGTGTGTGTGTGTGTGTGTGTGTGTGTGTGTGTGTGTGTTACCAGGAATTGAACTCAGGACCTCACACTTCCAAGGCAGGCAGCAGAAGCACTGAACTAAAACCCGGCCCCAAAATTCTTATTTTATTGTATATTTTAAGACTAACATCAAGTTGACTGAACTAGCAAATATTAAGCATTAATGGTGTATCTATGATGATTTAAATTCCTTTTGTATATGGGTAGTTCATTAATTATATTTTTGAAAATTATAATTTTCCTAAAATAGGTGGCTATTTTTACTTATTTCACTCAAAGCACATACCAAATAAATGGCATATATCATTATGAAATGTGATCATATTCACACTTACTATCAGATAGTTATATTTGTATTCACTTAAGGAAAATACTTAAATAAGTAAGTACTCTAGGTTGAAGAGAAATAATTTTGAAACGGATATATAGATAAAAATTGACAAAATAAAATTAGCTACTGTCAAGATAAAATGTATTTTTAAAGTGAATATACTCTCTAAATTACTTTGATACGCACAAAATCAGAATAGTCATAATTTAAAAACCGAATCAATAAAACTGCATTTTACACCATATATTAGAGTAAGAGTTTTTTTTTCCAGCAAAATGTGTGCATTTTTCAAAGGACAGAGTTTTCATGGATGAAAATAAGATTCTATGCTAAAAGACTTCTCTGCTGAATCCCTGACATATTTTTAGGATTTGACCCGAGTCATACATTGTTTTTCTAGAAGTCCAAGCATTGCTTCATTCACTTACTCACTTCATCCTCATCCGTTTATCCTACAACTGTGTTCATCCTTCCTTCATTTTTTCAGCTTTTATAACTTGTGGAGATAGAAAAGTATGGACAAAAAGACGAACAAGTCAAGGACCTTTTCCCTGTTAAGCTCACAGTTTACAGGTAAATTCTGTATAACAAAAGAAATCATAATAGCAAATTTAAACAACTGCACATTGCAGATGTGTGATGAAAAAACTGTGCCTATATGAATACGTAGAGGTTATTTTTCTCATATTTCACTAATATAGTACAGCAATTATTTACATACAGTGTACATGGTACTAGGTATTTCAAGTTATGTCGATATAACTTGAAATAAACAGTAGAATGTGCTTAGGTTAAACACACACATTAGCGTTGTGTATGACACTTTAGAATCTACAGGTTTTGATATCTGCATCAGTGTGTACCAAGAGACATATCCTCTGTGGATACCAAGGGAGGACTGGGACAAGTGCTCTCACATCTGCAGCAAGACATTGTATTCATCACCTCCAGTATTACACATAATGAAATGAACATCATTATTTTCCTACTGCAACCTTGCCTTACACCATTCACATCTGAGGCCATAAAAGTCATAGCACCTTCTAATATGCAGTCCAAATAATCAGGTTGTCAACCAATTACTCATGCCGTAGTGTATTCACCCCTTAAATGTTTCTTGTATCTTCACTCCCATCACGGCCTTCCTTTTCACCATTAATGTGAAATCTTCCCAAAGAGATCTTTCCTTTATATGTGCTGCACAAGCAATACCTTTACAGTCAGAATGTGGTTCAGCCCTAGAGTTTCCTGTCCTGCTACTCCTCAAGACCCCCACAGGTTTCTATAAAATCAAGCCTCCTCTTGCTTTTGTATGCAATGACCTCTAGTTGGAGTTACTTTTCCTCTATATTCACCTTAAGAATTCCAAACATTCAACTTACGTAGGTACAGCTTACTCTCTCCATGCTGTACACATTGTGTTGTGTGTTCTGACCTGCACGCATCTATTGCTGTCTTCCCCTGATCTGTGATGGCAAAGAATCTTACATGAGGTCTGCAATAAGTAGCAGGAAGTAAAAGAGCTAAATCTTCATGTCTTTTTGCATCTACTGATCTCCCTTAATATCCTCTGTCTTTCTTGAGGACTTTAAACCCTTTCCAGCTCTATGATTATTACATGGATATAATATGACATTTAATAGATAAAACTTATGGAGTATGACTTAAATGTAAGAAATAAACACAACAGATATCATCTAACATCAACTAACAATTTAATGCCAAGAATTGTTGCTAACAAAGGTTTGTCAAGTTGAGAGTACACTATGTTAACTTCACCGAAGTTTTTATCCAATGTTTGCGAAGCTTGTTAACTTGATACATATTAACACATATTAACTTGAGTTAACATGTGACATATAGTTATATTTATATATTTGCTTATTCCTAATGAGCAATGGACAAAACTAGTTGACACCACTTTCTGTAATATATTACTTTTAGGTTATACTGTGTAGCAACATCCTAGCTCAAATATACTTATTTTTCACATGTAAACACATGGCTTAAAAAGTTGTACTTCTCTCATTAAACTCATTAAAGGAATTTTTAAGTTGATATTGGAAAGCAAGATATGGGGAAGGGACCCTGAAAGGAAAGTATAAACAAAGAGAAAGGCATTTTGTAACTATGAAGATGTAAATAGTAGCCCAGTTTCAATCTTAATAAAAAGAGTAATTGACAATAATTATTCAAAAATTTTTGGAACATTTCTATTTTTGCTTAGTTGGAAAGATCATTAGTTTCATCATTTAAAACAATTTAACTGGAAAAAAATTTAAACTCAATGTTCTTGAGCAGCATGCAAAACTTAAACTATATGATGTTTACACTGAATCTTTTCATTTAACAGATTTATGACATTAATCAAGTCACTCTTTCTTTGTATGCCTTATTTTCCTCATCTATTAGGAACAGATTGTAATGTTAACCTCCCTTCCTGAGTCATTGCAAGGATTAAATTAGTTAAATCTCGTGAGAGAGTCTAACAGATAGTAACTTCTGTTATCAGTTTATGATTATGATTATTAATTTTTATCAGGAAGTAATCATACTAGTAATAGTTGAAGCACCAGCAACAGTAGCTACATACAGAAATCAACCTGTTTCATCTCACTTTAAGTGCTTTATCAACATGCAAGAATTTATTTAAAACAGGATCTTTCTAGTAGTTTGACCGTAGAGACATCAACAGCCACAATTTCTTGTTTTATGTAAATAAAGTAGCCATGTACTATAAACAAATTTGTGTTATGTTTGCTGCATATGGAACAGCATTTACTAGCTTCAGTAAAACTGTTCTATTTAAACATGGACTCAGCATTCATGGCAAACATATAGGGTCACCCACTGTGTGATTCCAAGAGAAGCCTCAATCCTGCCATCCATGTCCCTGGTGTCCCCACAGTGGGGCTGCAGGAAGTGGTCCTGCAGTAGGACACAGCGGCAATGTCACCCTTGCAGTTGGAGTTGTACCACATGGAGGTGTACATCTCACTGCCTTGACCAAAGGGAAAAAAGTGATTTCCAAAACATTTTGTGCTTTATCAACTATGAGTCCAAGAACAATATTCACAATGGATAACGCCAGCTTGCATCCTCCAGACTGCAAAGTTTGCTTAAAGGTATGAGTAGTATCGAGTAGTATCTACTACTTACAGGTGTTCTCTAGATCCTTGCAGAAAGGTTGGAATATGCTTGTTTTCATTACAATATTTTAAAATTGCTTTGAGTTTTTCTGTGCATTCACAGAAACAGACGAAGGAATCATAAATTTTTTAAAGCAAATTTAGTTGGAGCCCAACATCCTGATGGCTGACAGCTAACTCTGGCCCAGAGCTGCTTTTATCTGTCAAGTCACTAGCTGCCTGCAGAGACACACATGTGACTGACTCACAAGGCTGAAAGCACCACATTCAAGGGCAGAGCAGAAATGTATCACGTCATGATCTTCAATGAGAACAGAAGTTCCAGTGTTTGTGCTTATCAATCCTTTCACCTTCTAGAATCTAAGGCCTCTCCTGTACCTCTCCTTTATAACCTCTGTAATTTCATTACCAAACGAGAGGATTCCATCTCACAGTGTTATACTGTCTGAGAATCATCACAAAACTCAGAAAAGCTTTTAAAACTTTACTGAACAATGCATATTTTAAGTATGAATTTAAAGAAATAATGCAGAATTAAGATGATAATTTAAACAGAAGAATAAAAAGTGTTAAATATGTTGATAATCCCAAACTTTTGTAGTTCTTGGTACATACAGATACTAAAATTATCAAATTAAGAGGCAAAAAATTTCTGAAATTTCATATGAATACTTTTTTTGAAGGGACTTATTTAGTGTTAACTTTAATGAAGTAAGATTTCTAGGCCTGGTTTGAATAAATTAACCAAAATTACTTATCCAGTACAGTACAATTAGCAAATACACATGTAACTGTACACATACGTCACATATGTGTGGAGGGATTTCAAAAATTGACCACTTTAAGAAGTAATCTCGGCTGGGCGTGGTGACGCATGCCTGTAATCCCGGCACTCGGGAGGCTGAGGCAGGAGGATCGCCGTGAGTTCGAGACCAGCCTGAGATACATAGTGAGTTCCAGGTCAGTCTCACTACATAGTGAGACCCTGTCTCAAAAAACAAACAAAAAAAAGAAGTAATCTCTCACCAAGCACGCTTCATTCTGTACATACAACTGTTTACACAGAAAACATAAGCCAAAACATTAAAATGGTATTAACATAGTAAACCGTATCAGAGTACTCTGCTTTTTAATTCGCCATTTCCTTTGCTTGTCAATAACACCATTCTGTGCATACTGCAGACTTAAAATTATTATTTAAATAGAATGCTTACAAAAATTAGCTAACCCATAATTTGAAAGAACCAATGCAACATAAAATAGTGGTTTCACTTTTGGAAGGAGTAAGTATATATTATTCTCTCTCCTTCACCAGTTCTAATTAATATAAAAGCAATATAATATGCCATGCAATGTAATACAAAATGTGTTACTTGAAAATGGCTAATTTCTTCAATATAAGGATCATCACAATTGCAATCATCACTTTTAATTATCCAAGTACTACAAATTAAATATACCACATGTCTCTCTGCTAAAGGAGGGTATAATTACTTAATTTAAAAACAACATGTTGAAGAATATAAAATTAGATAAGTTTATAGCATCTGAAGATAGATAATAAGACATTATTTTAAAATGGAAAGATAATTTCAGGTGTATTACTCTAGTCCATATTTTATATAATAAGGCTCAGATAAAAATATAAACCTTATAATTTAACTACTTAAAATAACAGACTATAATATCGGCATGTATTGTTACTATGAACTCACTTGAAATTACAAAAGCACAGCTAATTGCTTTAATAGCATCATTATGGGATTATATTACCAAAATGAAATACTATTTGGTATGAGTAACCTGAGCAATAACACCTGAAGAAGAGGGAAAGATTCACAGAAAAAGATGGGAAATAAAGGAATTCGGATTGTTCATAGCTAAAGTGACAGTGAGGGAGAAGCCCACGTGGGACCCAAAGAGGCAGATAAGGAAGGGAAGATGAGAGGGTCTGAACCAGGCTGCGTGGTTTCGCCTGCAAACAACTGCCAGGTGTTGTACTCTTAAAGGAAATAAATATACATTACTGACCGAGAAACCTACAAGAAAAACCATCCCCGGGCCGGGGATTTAGCTCAGCGATTCTGTGGCCTGCCTCGCAAGCGCAAGGACCCCAGTTCAATCCCCGGTACCGGACAAAAAAAAAAAAAAAAAAAAAAAAAAAGAAAAACCATCCCCAAACTGATTTAGAACAATTTTTTGTTAAAACAAACACAAAAGCTCACCCCAAAACACAAAGAAACAAAACCAAGTGACACTCTTGGATTTAAAGAAAGATTTGCCCCTATAGTTGATCTTTTTTCTGTAATTGTGCATCACAGAAATGGTATTTTACCTGCTCTGCACCCACACTATCATTTGGCTTGGTCTGGAATCTGAGCTATTTCTTGCCTGAAAAAGACCCATGTGCTTCTCTCTTCCACCATGTTTTCTCCACAGCCCCATTTCCTCCAGACAACAAAATATCGTTGAGACCCCATTCCAAATCCTGTGCTTGTTTCTTTTTTATTAACTTCTTACAAAGATCTCTCTCTAGATGCTTTACGAAATCAAACCTGTCTTGAGTTCTTCCAATGACCGAAAGGAACTTTAAGAATAAGCAGAACCAGATGCACGCTTTTGGCACCCTACTCTCTTAATTTTGATTTCTACAAGAAAATATTAAATAATTCCTTATTGTTCTGGCACTCATCAAGATACATAAGCCATTTAAAGTATTTTGTTTTCCAAATATTTAATTAATTTACAATTCTAAAAGTGGATTTTCCAACAAAATGAATCAGAAGGTAATAGTTCTCCAATAAGGAATCAAAAAATTCTCCAGAGCATTGGTAACATGTTGGGATGCAGAGTGTAATTTAAATGGAATTCTGCACATGCACAGTAAAAAAATACACAACTCACCTGAGGTTTTTATTTCTTATTAAATTACAATAATATATATTTAGGACAATGGCTATATGATCACTTAAAATAAAAATTTAATATTAAACTAATGAGATAGAATTTCCATGATTATAAATCAGCACATCTGAAATATCACAATTTTATCTATGTAACATGTTATTTCTAATAGTTACAAAATGTGTTATGCATTTTCTTGATTTTGTTTCCAAGGTGTAGAATAAAGTTAATATTGATTCATCTCTTAAAAGTACTAGAGGAGTTAATATATTTATTTGCAATCTGATTTGAAATTTAATCTCAAAGTATTTATTGTGTTTTCCTGTCTTGCTGAAATGGAGGTACTATGAATCATGTTATGTTGTAAGTATTAGAAAACAAACTATAATTTCATAATTAGAGCTTAAATCAGTTTGGCATGTCATAATTATGCCTAGGTCTGGATGTGTCAGGTATTGAAGGTGTAAATGGAACACTAAATGTTATTTTTGAGGTGCACAGCGGGATGATTTCCCCACACCAAACATCGAGCAACTGCAGCAACTGTGAATGTCACTCAGCCTTTGACATTCATTTCCTTTATTTGAAAAGTAGGAGAAAAATATATCCTTGCCTTCCCCAATGAGGAAGCTGATATCTCATCATTAAACTAAACAGAAATAATAGAAATAGATTCTATTTGTAAGTATCAAGGGCTCTGAAAATACAAATGATTTTTCCCTCTACTGAAAAAATCACTTCCTCCGCTGTCTAGAAACAACAACGCTACTTCATAATTTTACAGAACTTACTGTGGTCCTGTGGCCAAATAATGTGTGACTATGGGTAGCTGTGCACACAACAAAAGTCCTTCTGACCAACACCTCTTATCTTTTGAACCCAATAAAATGTCTTACAGATAACTTGCCCAGTAAGGAATAAGAAATGAAGCCATGATTGATGAAAGAATAAATGATACATATTTTTAAAGAAGAAGAATATGCTCTTGGTTAATAAGAAACTGAAAATAGAGACTTTCTGGTGAAAACCCTCATTTGATTTATCTCATTTGGGGAACTGTTACCAGAAAGGAACTACTAATAGTAAGCAAACTCTTAACACTGTGTCTGACATAGTGCCTTTCACCCACAGTAAGAACCCTGGTTTCTGTTGTTTCTCAATTTCCATTATGTAAGTAATTTCACCGTGGCCAATTGGAAGCTACTTACATGACACTCCTTAACAAAGATTTGGGAAAAAAAATGTGTATGAAGTATCTTCACCAGCCATACAAACCAGTATCTTTTCAGCTATAACTCAATTGTCATTTTTCTTGTAGTGGCTTCAACCATACACCTACTTTGGCTCTTATTCATACTTTCCTGATTCAAAAATATATCGCCAACATCAGGTGATTAAACGTGACTGTGGACCCTATGTGTTGTATGAAATCTCAGAAGATTGAGATAAAAACAGGATAAATTCCAAAGTAAAGTTAATCAAATAAATTAGTCCATTGGTGGTGGCCAGAGTTCATGTAAAGTTTTTTATCTACAGTACTTAGTTTGGCGCAAAGACCAAAAAAGGAAGGAGTCGGATGCCGTTACTTACTCAATTGTGTTTCTGTCCACTTTTCCTGTCATGTTAATGCCATAGAACTGCTGCATGGCCGCTAGGGCGGACTGCATGGTCTCTGCAGAGCGCAGCACCGACATTCTGGGGTCAGTTGGTGGAAGGTAGCCGTACTTTTGTAACCAAACCTGAAATAACAAGTACAGTTCCTTTTAGATCAACTTTACCATTTAACAAAATGTTCTGGTAATTAATTTATGTCTATAATAAAGTGGTAAACTTTCCTTCCTCTATAAGGGCATTCATTAAATGTTTGATCTGTTTTTAACATGTAGTTTAGATGGCTTAATATAATTTCAATACTGTGGTCATCTCTAACATATTTATAAATGCCAATTGAAAATTTATTATTTCTTGTCTTGACATATGGTGTCAAAAGCACTGAATACTGAATACAAATTTGACTAAGATCATCTCTGCTCTGCAGGAATTCAACCTCCTCAATGAAGGATGTACATTTTCAATAATATGATCCCACTGAGACATCTCTGCTGGAGGGGGCAGTTAAATGTATATGACACATCTAAAAAACTATTCTCTTGAACCATTGTTCAAGCAGTGGTTACAGCTGGGATGTAACATCTTTACCAATAAACAATGTTGTTCTCTCATAACATTTTGGGTATGATTTTCATTTAGCCAGTCTCTCTGATTTTAGCTAGGTATACCCAAGGTTGGGTCGGTGTTTTTTCCTATTAAAAACTTTATTTATGGTTTCTTTTGTTTAAGGTTATTTTTCCAAGGTGCTTCACAATAGTCCAAATCACTTAAGTAACCAAACTTTTCATGTATAAAGGAAAATCTGACTACTTTTTAAAACATGTTCTCTTTATGGGTCTCATAATTGGTAATTCCCCTTCACTGGTGAGGGTATCTGTGTTATCTCAATCATGATTGTGGCAATAATTTAGAGTCATTTCAGGTTAGATTTTAAAACTAATACAAAATTGAGGGTATTTGGGGAGAAATGTATCTTCACTATAGAGCACATGTTTCCTAGTTAATAACTCTGTGCATCCATTTTAAATGCACAGTCCAGACCCCCATCTGCTGTGCTTTAGCTAAGATTTCTTGAAGAGCAATGAACTACCTGTCAAATTTATAAGAACCAAACAATTGCTGTACTGTGTAGAGGGAGGTATTCACAAGTGTGTGTTCTCTCTCTACCTGGGGCTATTCATCATTAAATGCCACTTCTATAAAATTGGAGCTGTCCTCTAATAACTGATAATCTGAAGTTACAACTACAGCACAGGAGAATTATTTTTCCAGTGAAAGTAACTGGCAAGCACAAAAATTAAAATTCATGAATGGAAACCAATAATTAAATATATCAAAGTTAAAATGTGAAGCACAAAGCAGAATCTTCTATAATTCTCCAAAGCTGACACCCCAAAACTGAATCATAATGTGAACAACCCTTTGAAACCAAATCAAAATGTTTATTCTGAAGCAATCTAAGAGATGAGCAATGTTTCACTGTCAAGAAGGTTTATGGATAAAACTAAATCTAGTAAAGTCACCTACCATAAAGCAATATTACGCCAAGACTCTTATAGTCTAATCAGTCATGAATAGGCTGCCAGGGAACATAATGTATTCGGTTACCTAGTTACCAGCAGTGCAGTCCGAAATCCATTCCTTTTTTATTCTGAATGAAGGAGGCAGGCAATAGTATTATTTTGTATGAAATTTAAAAGCTATTGTCATGTAATTTCTCAAAAATTAGAAGCTTCAATAATATACATGTGCCAATATTCTTCAACTAGAAATTTTTTTCGATAATATTTTCCACTCATTTCTCACTTGCTGAAGAGCTGACTTGTTGCTAGGTTACTTCTGGGTGCTAAGTTACTGGCAATTACGTTTATGAGGACAGTACAGACAACTTTTAATAATAAACGTTATGATTTACCTACAAATAGGGATACTATACTTAGCCTTTCAAACAAATGATTTCAAAGAATACAAAAATGAATTGTGATTTTTCTTCAAGTTCTCTTTTACCTTATGTTGCTTATCATGAAAGGTATTTTCCAAATGAATGATCAGTTCATTGAAAAGTAACAGCAAAGGTACGATATCTGCTAATTTATGGTCAAAATTTGTTTTCTAATGACAATTCAATGCCATGATTCAATCAGCAAGGAAAAAGAAACTTTTCTACTAGATTACAGCCATAATATCTTATTTGAAGAAAATTAAAATGTAACATTTGATTGTACATTTTATATCTTACTCCTAATCTGAGGTTAATAATTTAGCATATAGTCTTTTTCATTATTTATTAAAATGCACGCATACATGTAATTATGTATTTGTACAAACATAAGCATATAAATCATATTTAACAGATTTTACCATAGATGTTCATCCTCATTTGTTGTTATTGGAAATACATCACTGCTTTCATAATTGTTAAAGTACTGCTACTCTTATGTGATTGGATAATACTAAATATGTCTTCTGAACTTTTGTGCCATATTGTCTTTACAGTGCTTTCAAGTGCACATTATGAATAATAAAGGAGTAAGTATTTTATTGTGTACTTGTGGGAAATGGAATATCTAGGGTAGATGTGAGATTAAGTGAGGATACATAAAGCTCAAGCAAATTTCTTGCTCAGAAAAGTTATTTTATGCTTACAAATTGCCCTGAGTTAATGCAATTGCTCCTGTCTCTATTATATTTACCCATGAAGCCAGGTATGATGGCACACCCTTGTAATCCCATCACTCTGGGAGGCTGCAGCAGGAAGATCACAAATTCAAGCCCAGACCAGGCAACTTCATAATTTAGTGAGACCTAATTTAAGTAGTCATAGTTGTCAGGTAAAACAAGCAAATAAAATGAATAATTATATACTACTTGAAAATTCCACAAGTCTTAAAACAAGAGGTATATAGAAAATTTGGTACATTGTTTTGTTTTGTTTGTTTTGTTTTATCATCTTCACTGGATTCACAAGTGCATTTAACTGCACTGAAAAAGTAAGGAACTCATACATTTCTTCAAGGAATAATTTGACTCATTTTACCATCTGCAATTTAACCCACCTTATTACTACTAGCACAAACAACCACACAGCTTCAAAAAGAATCACAAAACTGAACAATGAATTACATTTGCTCATTCAAATATCTTGCTATGTTGTGGATCAAACCAATTTATTACATTTAGTGATTATTCATTTACAGAAATAACTAGAGTATTACCATTATTAGAAGACCAAGAAGAACTATCAAGCAATGAAAGATAGACTTAAATATTAAATATAGTGCCAATAGACATAGACATTACAAAATTTTATAAATAGGCACATAAAATTTTTACAATATCCACTACAGAAAGGTCTCTGTCAGTAGTATTTCAGGTACCCATACTGTGAAAATATATTCCTGTACCGTATTTATTTTTCAGTCTAGTAATATAACTTAGAAAAATAAAATTTCTTCTATTCTTTGAAGACAACAAATTAATCAATACCATAACATAAAGCTAGACACCTAGATACTATAATTGTAGACTTTAATGAATCACAAATCCCAAAATAATTTAACAACTCTATTTCTGACACTACATGGGCTATAGAGAAAACATCTTATAATGCCAGCCCTAAATGACAGTAGGTACTCAGGCATCTTTCAATATTTTAAATTAACTAATAGCATATGAGTGATTAAACTGCTGAATTTATTAAGGATACTTTAAAAATTTAAACAAAACACTTGAGGGAACTATAAGGAGGGTTGGGTTAGGAATAACCTGGATGATCAGCTTGCTAATCCACAATGAGTGCTTGTGTCTGACAGTTATTTCAGAATAAGTCAAGTATAATTTATTTCTAGCTTCTATATAATGTGGCAAATGCCAATTCCCTGTACACAATTTATATGATCCAAAGCACAGTACTCACTACTGAATGAAAGGACAGTAGTGATAAATATATTCTATAGTATAGTATTGATTTAAAATAAATCCTTTCCATTTATATTATATAAACATTTTTTACTATTTTTGAACAATTTAAAAATGTTCATTTCACATCAGACTTCAATATTTATGTATTCTTTTTATTTATTTATTCATTAAGTTTATTGGTATATTTTAGGTATATAGTATGATGATATTCATCATTGGGAATTTGAAACTTTACATGATATATCTTAATTCTTATTTTTTTCCCCATTCCCCTGTCCTCCCTTCAACCCCTCCACCTTCCCCTATTTACAAAAACTTTATTTCCATTTTTTTCCTTTTCTCATATTTATTCATCTCCCTTCAATATTTTAATAAGTATGTTTAGATCTATAATCTTCAATATACATTCTGATAAAAATAAAATTAGATGTTTTGATGAAATACAATTTTAACAGGCAAATTCTTGGTGTTATAAAAATTAATTTCCTTTATTCAGCATGAGATTAGTACATATTAATTATAAACTAAAAGTAACAACCAGAAAATAATTACTTACTTTTTTGTCTGCAAAAGTTTCAGGATATTTTCCCCTGAAATGTCATTTATTCACTGGTTATAAATACAGAGGATTTAAGGCTTATATTTTCTAGTCTGGAAAATGAATATAAATATGAATTGTAACTACCAATTAACCCCAAAATTAAATTGATGTATGGGAGTAGTCATTTAGAATTGGTAAAAGTGAAAATTTATAAGTTAACAAGGCAAGAATGATCCTCTCTTCATTGCAAAAAAAAATAAATGTACTCTAAATCACCATCCTATCACCAATAGGAAAGAACCAGTGTATGAAATCACATATAGAGAGCTCAACTCATTTAGAATCTCATCATAGGTTGCACGGCTTACTGGAAATACATCCACAAGAGGACCAACAGCTCCTCCACTACCCATCTTATCAATCAAGAGGCAACTGTCATTTGACCAAGGAGAAAGGAAAACAACTGGCTTATGAGTAAAAGCTGTGATGTCCTTGCTGTGATGACCTTCATGACCTTACTTTTTAACCTTAACTTTAAAATCTCTTATTTTTAATAAAAACTAAAAACAAGTTTTAAAGACTGAGGAGAGAATTTTCACTTCGCATGAAAGTGAGCTTTACTTTGTACCTAGCAACTGTGGGAGCAAAGCACCTCAAAAATAATGGCTGAGCACCAGTGATTTAAAAAGTACTGGGCCAGGGATTTAGTTCAGTGGTTCTGCTCCCTGCTTCCCAAGCACAAGGTCCTGAGTTTGATCCCGGTACCAAAAAAAAAAAAAAAAAAAAAAAAAAAAAAAAAAAAAAAAAAAAAAAGAGTAAAACAAACAAAAAATCAGTAAAAAGTACTGCTCTTAATTGGTAGTGTATCATATTCTAGTCAGTGTTCTGGAAAGTTAAAGATGACTTTGATATACGACCTCCTGCTCTGTCTTTACTGGTTTTTCCTTAGTATGTCTAGATTTTCTATGTATTTTTAGTGTGTAATCCAAAATAAGATAAAAATATCATTGTTATCATCAATAGTTTGACTGCAGCATATCACATGGCTATTTTTCTATGATGGTATAAATAGAATTATGGATTATAATAGATTAAAGTGGAAAATTCATACTTGTAAAAGGTACCATTAATACCTTTAACTATTATGAAGAATGAAAGTATTTTATGTAACTTAGACATCTGCTGGCTATATAATGGCAACATATTTAAACAGTAATCTAATAAATGAATATTTTCTTTTGCAAAAAATCAAAGGTGATGCCCCCTTTTGTGAAGTCAAGTAGCTTCAGAAAATGTTATTCATAGCTACTTTGAAATGTGAGCTATACAAAAATTTGCATCAAGATAAAAGTGATATGCTAACAATGCAAGAGAAAAGAATTATTTCTGAAAGTCATGCATGTAGAATATTTTCAAGATGGATGTTTGAAAATGTTCCCATGGCAATAATATTATGACAATAAAGATATCAAATCATAACATTTTCAAAGCTCTCTCATAATGTGTTCCTTTAAATTCCTGGCAAGAGGATTTTCTACCTATAGAATAACTTGCCAAAGGATAAGAGTGAATTTTAAGCTCCATTTTCAAAAATATAAAAACGCAACACCTTCTGATTAATTCTGGCTAGAAACTGGTAAGTATCAGGGATGATGTAATTTACCAATGGAATTTTACCAAAAACATTTTCACAAGTAATATATAAAACAGTATTATGAGATTTAGATAAGTAATTGCCTAAAGATGTAGCTTTTTTAGTTGTGTTTAGCTGTCTTTTTTGGATGTTTTTTAGCTACAATGATTTTTAAGATGAAGATTAAAAATACACTGATCTTGAAATTACTGTATTTCCATTATTATTTATAAGTGTAAAATGCACATATAGAATGATAAAGAATAGTCACAGAACTCTTTAAAAAGATGATTAATGATTTTCTCCTAAGAGCAAATAGTGTTAATTCTTAAGCGATTAATAAGTAAGCAAATTTTATTTTAAAATATTATGTCATCCTTAGGTCCTCTTAATATTTCTATATTGAGTATATTTTAAAACATACATAATGTTTAATACATCAGTTAATAAATATAAATACAAAGGTACATGTTAGAAGTTGATTGATGGAGATATAAAATCAAAAGTGTGGGGATAACAGATACGATAGAAAAAAAGTATTCAATTTTAAAAGTTGAAGCTACTACCTTAAATTGTTCCCAGTAGGTCATATTGTCCAGGCAAGATGAGAAGATAGTTTATCACAAGCCATATATTAGATTACCTTCTATGACAGTTCTTGAGGTCTCCCTTTCCATCACTTTTTTGAAGCTACCCACATTCCATTGAAACAATTTTTTGAATGATTTTCAAATCATTCCTCATTTTTCAAACTGTTCCCTTGTTACTTGTTACAGTTTATTATTTGGTCAAATCCAATGTTAGTCCTATCCCCAACAGGTCTTGATAAGAACAGCAACTGCTGCCACATCAACTGCTATGTCCAGGAAATTTAACACATTAACTTTAATCCTTATAATAAATTATTGCATTAAATGCCATAATCTACGTTTAATAAATGATGGGATAAAACCACAGAAAAGTTAAGTACAGGATATCCTGACACAGAGGAGTGAGAATTAGAGCAGAGGTCTGACTGACACCCAAGACTGGCTTACATTGGCTCTGAGGCAGAGACCCAGCTGTCTACATGCTGGGAATTTCTGTGGGATGCTATTCACATTGGGAGACGAATATGCAGACCATCTGAAAACATACCTACAGTAACCAAGGGTGTTACATTTTCATACAAACAAAATATCCTATTTTATATCACCGAAGAGCACTGAGCAGTGGTTGGCATATGTTTTGGGTATAACACTAACTCCTACTTTCATGGGTTTCTCTAATTTTCAATGTATAACAGACTTACACAGCCCAATCTGCTCAACCAAATTAATATTCTTATTTCTACGCTAGCATATTTCACTTATGCCCATTTCAGTTTTACAGTTTAAAAAATACAGAAACTCGCTTTGCCAGAGTTGTCTTTCCTTTGCACTATATTCTTTCACAGCACTTTTGTATTGTAGTTTTGATGTTGTCATTCAATTTATCTATACTTTCTTTAGTACATTTTCTATAATTAGTTCGTTAAGTATCATCTATGTCTCAGTGATACAGCAACTTACCTCTGACCTTACCCAAATAACTAGACTCTGCCCTCTTGCTATTTAAACATAAAATATATATGTCCACCAAAGGCCCACATGGTAAAGGCTTAGCCCCCAAACCCATGGTTTAACCAAGAGCAGGAGAATCTTTCAGATGTCAAGTCTAGAGGGATGTCTTCCAGAAACCGGAGGCATGCCCTTGAAAAGGAGAGTAGGATGGAACCCTTTCTTCTTCCTCTTTTGCACAATCTTTCCGCAAGGTGAACAGGCTTCAGTTCACCCCGTGCTACATCACCCATGGCCCAAAAGCAACAGGGTCAACTGATTATAGACCAAAACCTTCAGAGCCATAAATCATAACAGCTTATTAAATTGAGCATCTCAGATATTTGTTACAGTAATAGAAAGCTGAGTAATGCAGTAGTTATCCTACATTTATCCATTTTCCTCATCACACACATCCAATCCATCATCACACTATTACTCCAGTTTTATCCAGAATGTGATATTACCTATGCTGCCACCCTTCTTTTTTCTAGGGTACCATTATTTCCCATCAGACCTTGCAACATTTTCCAGCTGGTCTCTGTTTTTGTACTGCTGCCATTCTCTCTCCTTTGGACCAACTTTCATGAGCTGTCTTTTGCTTCAATTGCGGTGAAATACACTTAAGGTGAAGTTTGCCATTTAACAATTTTCAAGTGTACTAGTCTTTGGCATTCACACTGGGGTGTAATCAGCACCACCATTCATCTCTATGACTTTTCATCACCCCAAACCAAAACTATACTATTGAATATCAACTTTGCATTACTCTTAGGCTCTGATAACTGCCATTTAATCCCTGCCCCTATGAATTTGATTATTCTAGATAGGTTATATAAGTGTAATCATACACGTATGTGTGTTTTAATTCTTTCATTTATGGTGTATTCACATTCATTTATGTTGCAGCATTTTGTATTTTTAAGACTGAATAACAATTCAATGGATGTACCTCTGCACAATAATTTTCTTATCTACTAATCCAGCAGCAAACTCTGTGAAGTGAGTGTTTGTATTTCTGAAACATTCATCTCCTATCTTGAAATCTTAACTCCCAAAGTATATCAGGAGGTCATGTGTTTGGAAGACATTTAGGTCATGAGGGTGGAACCCTTATGCACGGCATGAGTGCCTTTATAAAACAGTATGAAGAGCTCTTCACTCCACTTTCTACCATGTGCGTGCACTATGAGGAGTTGGCAGTGTGTAACCTGGAAAAGCCTCAGACTTCCAGCCTCCAGAACTAAGAGCTAAATTTCTGCTACTTATAAGCAGCCTGATCTATGGTACTTTGTTAGAGTAGAAAGAATCAGCTAACGCAATGAATATGTGAGTTGTTTCCATTTATGATTACTGCAAGTAATGCTGCTATAGGCAGGGGTGTAAATATTTGTTCTAGTTTGTGCTTTCCACCTTTGGGGAATGTATCTATAAGTAGAGTTAATGTTCTATGTGGTAATTATGCTTAGTTTTTTTGATTGAGTGTCATATTGTTTCAACATAAAGGCACTACCATTTTATATTTGGCTAGCTTCACAAAGCTTGCAATTTTCCACATCCTTGTCAACTCTTGTTATTTTATCTCTTAATTTTTGTTGTTGTTGATATTTTGAGGCAGGGTCTCACTTGTAGTTCAGGCTAGCTCTGAACTCATTATCGTAGCCCTGGCTGTCTTGCCTCCCAAATGCTGGGATTATGGACATGCACACCACAGCTGGTCAACTCTTGTTAGTTTATGTTGTTTGTCTGTTTGTTTTGTTTTGTTTTAAATTTTAATAGCTAAAGGATCTGAAGTGGTATGACTTACCTTCCTTAAATCTTAGATCAGACTATATCATACCTTTGATTATAACATTTTCACAGCTTCCAAGTGACTTACTTTTAAATTCAAACTGCATATGGTCTACAAGTTGAAGGACAGTCCGTGTTAGCTGACTTCTCATAATACCCTCTCTGGATATCCCAAGCATATTGTCTCTTTGTTATTCTTGAAACAAGCTAATTTATTTTCTGGCTCAGTGCTCTGCACTTACTTTCTCCCCGTCCCTTAAAATTTTGTTCAAATGAGAGCTTTTCAGAGGGATGCTCGGACTCCATGTCACCGTTATCACAGTCACGCAGCATGGTGTGTGTCCCTCACTGCACTTCCCATGATCACCACATGGCGTTTTGTCTACAGATTTGTTCTTCTATCTTTATATATTTTGTTTAATGCTGCAGATAAGCCCCAAACCTGTAACCACTC